GAAACACCACCGATCTTCAGCCTTGGCTCTTTAGTATATATATAGATATTAAGATAAGGCAAGAAGTTGCTCACCTCATGAGAGAGGGATGGATCTAAGATCTCCAGAATTTGGACTTCTTAATTAGAGAGTAATATCAATACATGACACAGGGCTAATAATATGAGCAACAAGTGATAGATTTCAGCACTTATGTAACCTGGCTGCAGAATAAAGAATGGTCTTCAAACACAATTTAATAGTTTTTCAAACACAGCAAAGTAGTTTTATAGACCAAGTGTGATCTTACAAATAGAGGGCTATTTGCAAAGGGCTTGAATAAGCCTTTGATGGAGTATTGGACAAGACAGGCCATACTTTATCTGAGAGACATAAGCTCTCTATCCCAGCAGCTCGTAACAGGGCTTGGTGAGATTCAGGGTTTTTAGGTGAGACCTCAAGATATAAGATAGGAGCCACGTAACTCTTCTGTTGTGCACTTTTTAATGTTCATTTTGCAAAATTACATACTGGAAAAATAATTACTATTTTAAAAAAGCAATGGTATAAGCCACTGCCACAGCTCTTGGAGTACCAGCCATCCCTGTAAGACAAGCCGAGAACAGCCAGAGCAGTCTTCAGCAGTGGTCCTTCACGACTCAATTCTACAAACAGGGGGAAAAGTTACCTACCTCTACCATAACTTCAAAAATTTCCCTTACGTATCTGTGATTTCACCATGTAAACTTTTCTGTGCTTTGATGCACCAGATACCTGTGCACATCTCTGGGATATGGAGTGCAGGACCACTTGATCCTGGATGAAGACTGATTATTTGCAGTGAGATTTAGCAAGGCCATTAGGTTGATTAAAGCAGCTTCACTGTTAGCATTTGAATATAAACACTAATAATTACAAATTGTCATTTATTGCTATTGTCCTGGATTCACTGGAGTCTAATAATTTTAGCACACACAAACACACACACACACACACACACACGCACACACGCACACACGCATGCACGCACACAAAACAAGCTCCTCCTCCTTTTGGGGTTCTGTCTGGCCTCCTTCCTTCCACTCAGAACAAAATGAATATATTTGATTAATAACAGCAAGGAGCCTCTCACACACTGGAGAATGTCATTATGATACGGAAGGCTTTCAGCGAGCTTCTAGTAAGGGGAGTGGTGTAGTGCTGCCTGCTCCTTCCAAGAATGAAGGGATGTTAAAAGTGGCCCCAGGGGAGTGTCCCTCATGAGCTTTTATGGACCATGAACAATAAGAACAAGAGGAAGAAAGGTCAAAGTAAGAGAGATAGTACAAAGCAGACTAGGGACAAAAATACAGTTCTCTGCTCCCTTTTCCCCTGTGAAAAGTATAAATCGTAATACATAATACAACTCCTTTCTTCTGAGATTTGAGAACATACTGATTTGACAGTGAGAATTTCTCTCTCTCACGCACACACACACACACACACACACACACACACACGCACACACACACACACGCAAAACCTTCATCCCTTCAGCTGTCTTAATTCCATTTCCTATTTCCTTTGAAACTTAGAATTCACTTTGTCATACTAGATTTTATTCCATATATGTATACATATGATGCATACATACATATATATATTTCATGATGTCTATGACTTGAATACTAGGTCACACTAAAAGCAAAGTTGCATATAAATCTATTCTCTACAGAAAAGAAACAATGTGTTGTGCTTCCTTAAAAAGTTTTGTCTATCCCACTAAAGCTATTGTGACAAAACACTATAGCATGAATAACCTTTTCCCTTGTCTTTTTGGAAGTCCATACTGAAGCTATAGTTTTGGCCTCTGGTCAGGGTCTCTTTCTGGCTTCCATAAAGCTGTTTTCTCCCAGTATCTTCACACGGCCAAGCAAGCTTGCATTCTCTTCCTCTGTTTGTAAGGAAACTCTTGCCACCACGGGACTTCTTACCTCTCTCAGAATGCCCAGGAAAGAGTTCCTGTAGAAAGAACCTCTAAAAGAAGATGGAAGATTGCAAGTCTCAGGACTCGCTCTAAACCTAATTGCTTCTCAAAGACCCCATATTCTAATATATCATCATTTTGAGTAATAGAGATTCAACATATGAGTTTGGGGGTTCACAAATATTTGGCCCCAACACACATTATCCTTGAAGGAAAGACGTTAGCATAATTGAGGCGTGTTTTGATATCCTCAAAGGACAAACTAACTCTCAATTGACTTCAGGCAATTAACAGCTTGAGTAGCTATGATTTTCCCATTAAAAGTTTGCCAAGAGGTGAACGGTTTACCACTCATAATGTGAACTATTAAGCCACCTTTCTTTAACAATTTCATGCATGTTTAAATATCCCGAAAATGTGAGGGTCTAAATGAATGGGAGAGATCCGCTGGGGAGCCTTCCCAATGTGGATAGGGATCGATCGAGAAGACAGGAAGCTAAGTTTTAGCAAATCGCTGATGGCAGAATATTTGTCCTTCATTGATGGACCCTCTCTGTTGTATCATTTGCAGCCTCATTTAAGCTTCCCTCAGAGACACGGGTACTGTTCAAAGAGTCTCATTCACATGGGCCTACACACAGGATGCCCAGGTTGTCCCAACAGTTTAACCATTCCGTACGGGAAGCTCAAAGAAACCCCAAATGAAACCTTATCCCCACATCCTTCATTTAACAACGGGACAAACAGGAAGTCAGGTTGCTAGCCTTACAAGGGTCTCATTGCCAGCAAGCTCTGCAATGTAAGCAGATATAAGCTCGCTGTGAGTTGACTATAGCAAGGACAGCACTCCATCACGTTTTTAAGCCACGGGACCCTGAATCCCGTGGCGTTACCTTTGTAAGAATTCAGTCCTACATGGACAAGTTGATAACAATGTACAGATGAAATAAAGCATCTGGTACCCAGCGTGCACTGTCTGGTCTCATCTTCCTAGCAGCAAACCAAGGGCCTGCAAACAGGATTCTTGACTCCCTGTGCAGTGCACTTTCCATTATATTTCACGTTAAGTGAGCACCCTCGTTGGGAAATGAGGCTATCAAGTGCATTTCTAAGAGGCTTGTCTTCTAAAATCAATCTGTTCACATTTTTAATAATGCAAGAAAGAAGTCTGAAGTGGGCCCACAGAGAGCTCTGTGGACCAAAGGTTTGTTTTTAATTGGATTCTAAGTCTGTTGTTATGGAAATGGTGGCTTCACAGATGAACCCTTATGATTTGACTGCAAGATCAAGCCCAGGGTGGGGGATGAGGATGAGCTCATCCTTGTGCTGCTTTTTCTCGACAAAGCGCATTGAGAATTAAAAGAACGAGAGGAGAGCTGCTTCCCAAGCATATGTTTCCAAGAAAGAAAATAAATCTCCCCTACAAAAATAGCTTTTTAAATGATATATTCTCACCTCAAAGATCAAAAGTAAGAGTGACTCAGGTTGCCAGCAGGACACACAGCTGCTGTGACACTTTTAAACTCTCCCTTCTTCACCCCTGAAGCTCCAAAGGGCTCCTTTGATCCCCGGATTTGCTTTCAGAATGTGGCCTCATTGTGTGTTGGAAGATGCTGAACTCCCAGATTCCTCCATTTGTTTAGTGATCAGTTGCTGACAACTTTCCTCTCCAGAAGAGTTTGTACTCATGAACCAGGGCGTGTCGTCTAACTCCACTATAGAAAAACAAGAAATGCTTTCTAAATCTTGACGGTTGGTGGACGACACCATTCAAAGAATTGAGGCAATTCCCTTGAAAAATTTAGCTTATAGTTTTGGCTCATCTTAAGTGCCAAGGAAGGCAAGACTTGCGAATGTGAAACAGCACCATGAAGAAGAAACAGGCTGTATGGCTAGTCTGTGGTTGTCACAGCTAGCAGTGAGCTTGTGTAAATGTACTACTGAGATTTTCTCCCCTTTGTTCCCTGGGCTTTTTATTGTCTGTCTAATTCTTCCCAGGTACTGTTATTCTGATGTATTCCAAAGGATCTCCACCATACATATAAAATTGCAATTGATCGCTATTGGGAGGTTCTTTCAAAAAACAAAACAAAACAAAAAAGAGCCTGGTTTTTAGACCCAACTGTCCATAAACTTCAGAGACTGATGAACCCACAAACTTAGTGAGTCTTGGAGATACACATTTAAGATCTGAAGAGCAGCCGTCATACAGACATTACTGAGGGATCCTCCCTGGGTACTATCGGCTGCTTACCCATTTCCATCTGAAAATGGTTCAGAAATTAGATGGCTGCTAGCCCCTTCACTCTTAAGAAAATTATCACGTCAAATATCAGGAATTTCCTTTAAAAGATGTACATTACAAACTCAGAAAGGTTTCTAACGATACATTGAATGTGCCTATTTATGATAGCAGGTTAATTCTCTTGTCTTATATCAATGCAAAAGGTTAAAAACTCTTAAATTGTCATACCTGAGTGTTTTTAACTTGTCATTTTCCTTGCTTGCTATGACTCTTTTGGGTTTGAAAACTGGTCCTCTCTCTCTCTCTCTCTCTCTCTCTCTCTCTCTCTCTCTCTCTCTCTCTCTCTCTCTCTGCTCATCTCTCTCACTTCTTTCTTCTCTCTCACTTCCCTGCTCTCTTTTCCACTTTCTTCTCACTTTCTGTAAGGTTCATTGTCTTGTCTGATTCTGATTGCCCATAATGACTGTTTGGCATATTCTACAGGCAAAGGTCCTGAGACCCTTTTTGCCGGCTATAACCTCAATGACAATGAATGGCACACGGTGCGTGTGGTTCGTCGTGGAAAAAGTTTAAAACTAACAGTGGACGATCAACAAGCCATGACAGGTAAGATCTCCTGCTTCTGATACTTTTTTTTCTTTTTATCCCTGTATTTTCTTTTTTGTTTGATTTTTTTGAGAATTTCATGTAGTGTATTTATATCCCCCCTTCCAACTCCTCCCATGCCCCACTATCTGAGGTATAGTTCCTATCGAGTGATACACACCATAGGCAAAAGCAATCTCAGGAGAAAGAGATTATTTTACTTACACTTTCATACCGCTGCTCATCATGGAAAGAAGCCAGGGCAGGAATTCAAAGCAGGAACCTCAAGCAGACTGAAGCAGAAGCCAGGGAACAGTGCTGCTTTTTCTTTGCATTGACCGGTTTCTGACACGGGTTATTAAGCCTGCTTTCTTATTGCACTGGGATGCCCAGGGGTGGCTCCACCCACAGCAAACTGGGCCCTCCCACATCAATCATCAATCAAGAAGACGCACTGCAGGTTTGCGCACACATCAATCAGGCAGGGGCTTCGCTTTCTCAGGTGAAGCTAGTCTTCCAAAGTGACTCTAGCTTGGGAGAAGTTGATATAAAACTAGTCAGCACACCACCGCCCCCTCTCAATATCATGACCTCTTTTGTGACTCTCATGGTTACAGTTATGCACATACCTATGTGCATTATAATTGCAATCTGAGTCTCGTTAATGTTTCTCAGATGCATGTATCAACTGCTGACCTCTTGGGATTGAATTACTTGTCAGAGGTCTCTTCTCTGGATTGGATTAGATTGACTCTCTCTCTCTTAGCAACCATAAGTTACCTGTAGCTCTTTCTCTAACTGTATGGTCTTATGAGACACCCCGCCCCTGCCCCCTGCCCTCTGCCCCCTGCATCCACAGTGGCACGTAAACTGATGTTGTCATCATGTGAGCGTTGTGTAGATGACCATACTGTTAAGATTTCATGGGTGCAAATTGTGTCATTTGCAGAAGACATTGTCTAACAGCCGACATCCTATACCTACAGCTCTTAAAATCTTTGCTCCCTCTCTTCCTTGATGTTGCCTGAGACTAGGTGTAGGGGTTGCATTTTAGATGTGTTAGCTAGGCATGGTCGCCCCAATGGTAATTGTCCACTGCATCTTGACCACTTGTGGATTTCTGGAGTGATCTCTGACTGCTGCAAAAGAAGCTTCTTTGATGGCAGCTGAAGGCAACACTTACTGTGCATGTAAGACTAGGTATTTAGAAGGCAGTTGGGGATTATACTGGCCTGGGAAATCAGCAGTGTATATATTCTTCTCTAAGGTACATGCCTTTGCCAGTCCTGGGTAGCCAGCTATATTTTACAGTTCCAGACATAATTTCCCTCTTACTGATGGACCTTAAGTCCAATTAAAGGGCTGTTCATTACCAACCCTAGCCCACCAAGATGTAAGTGCTACTATCGTACCCTTGGATACAGGCTGCCCTACTGGTCCTTCTTGTGGTTTATAGGTAGGATTATTGATAGGTTTTTCTCCCTTGGCACTTTTCATAACACCTTTAAGTAATATAAGAACTAGTTTACATGGAGAGAATTTCCAAGCCAGTACTAGCTGATTCTTCCATGTTCTGTATCTGAAGAGCATTTAGCAATTGAGTATTACATTCAAGTTCTGGGAGTCAGCCAAGGCAGTGGAAACAACCTGTATTATTTGGGGAGTTTGTTGGACTCACCTGACCAACAACTTGAACATACATTTCCCACACTGGCACAGGGTTTCTGTTAGATAGTCAGTGGTTCCTGTGGTGGGTGGGTCATTGTCATCCAAGTTGCATTAACTTACTTAAACTACTAATATATATACAATACATATACACAGATTTACTTGTGCATGCTCTCTTTCTGTTTGTAAGTTTCAGATTCATTCTTTGCTGGTGGCTTTTCAGACTGAAGCCAATACATGATTTGAAGGTTGTACTCAGGACATTTGTCATCCAATTTGTCAACCAACATGTGCATTTATTAAGTAGCCTAATAAGCATTCTTCCAACTTGAACATATCTGCCATGTCATTTCCTTGTCCATAGTTCAAGAAATTATAATATATTTTAATTTTGTGGTTCTATAAATATCTTAGTGTTTCATGAACTATCAAAGTCATTGTAGATTCTAGTTTGTCTTCATTCCCTTTATTTCTTATATATTTTGTTGATGAGCAGTGGACAATTCTGTTTTCACTTCAAAATATGTTCATAAGTGTACTGATATGTTGGTGTACTTTTACTTATTTACTTTCTTTAGGCTACCCTACATCATTTAGCTTGTTGGTTAAATTGTACTATTCAGGATGTCAAGCTCTGTTCCAGATTTACAATCATAACCTAAGGAGGTGAGCCATTTAAGGCAAACCAATGGAAAAGGGGTCAGCACACCTCACCGTTGAGAACTCATACCCTGCATCGGCTCCTTTATTATTTGTAGAAAAGCACTTGAGGTCATTACGTTAGCACAAAGCACGGAACGGTCTTTGTGCACCAGAATTTCAAATTAAATTCCAAAGGTCTTCCCAGGCTGAGCAAAAAGAAACTTTCTCAATGTGGTATGACGTGTGGGTTATCATTTTTGAAGGAGTCATTCTTTAGACAAAGGGAAGTGACCCACAAGTCCTTAGAGCTTTTGTTGTCTTATATCTCATTGTCTGTTTACAGCTAGTTAGATTCCCTCCCCCTCCCATGTGTTAGACTTTTCAGGAAGATCCCCAGAAGGAGGCTCCCTTAGGAGAAAACAGAAAAAAACCCCAGCTGTGTTTCCTATAATATGTCTGCAGAGGGTGCTAATGCACCTGACACATGGGTCAGTGTTTAGTGCCTTTTCTTGGGCTCTTTGCCTTTTATTTATTTGTCAATCTACGATGTGACAGTCCTTTTGTTTTACCTTGTTGTATTTTATTTTGTTATATTTTATTATTATCTTTCAGAAGCCTGTTCTTTTTTAAGGAGAGACAGAAAGGGAGTGGATCCCAGAGGGAGGGGAGGTACAGAGAAACTGGGATCAGTAGAGGGAATGGAAACCATAGCCAGGTGTGGTGATATGTTTCTTGTGCAAATAAAGCCTGTCTCGGGGTCAGAGAATGGAGCTTGCCACTAGGTAACCATAGAGGTCTGTGCAGACAGACAGGAAGTGACTTAGCTGGGCAGAAACAGGATATCAGCAGGGAGAGAAACAGGAAATCACTCTCTTCTCTGCTGAGATGCTTAGGAGGAAAGGTGTGCTGTGGCTTGCTCCTTCTCTCTGATCTCTCAGCATTTCCCTCTGTATCTGACTGCAGTTTTTTATTACCTAGACCAGTTAAGAACTCATCTTGCAACCACAGTATATTATGTGAGAAATGAATCTATTTTTAGTAAAAGAAAAAGAAAACAAAGCAATGGGTATTTTAAAATCAAAGCAAACAACACACACAGAGAATGGCATAAACATAATATAGTCCCCACTCACAAGAAGGCTCTGAAACAACCACCTAAGATCAGGTAGTCAGAAGAGAGGTCGGCTAGTTTCACTTAAGGTCAGTTCTTGGAAGAGAAAGGAATTTTTCTTGAAGATTAACATTAGTTGCTAAAGCAATTGGGTGTTATCTAAGGGGATGGACTAAGCAGGGTTTATTTACTTGTTTGTTTGTTTGTTTATTGTTTATTTCTGTTTTTCTGCCACACATTACATCCCCACAGCAGTTTCTCCTCCCTCCATCCCTTCCAGTCCCTCCCTCTACCTACCATCTTCTCCAAATTAACTCCTCCCCTGTTTACCAAAAAAAAAAAAAAGACCTCCCCCAGGAATATCAACCAAACATGGCCTAACAAGTTACAGTAAGACCAGGCACAACGCAAAATATCACATATGAATGAAACTCCAATAGGAGAAAAAGGGTCCCAAGCACAGGTAAAAGAGTCTGAAACACCCCTGACTCCCTTTGTTGGGAGTCCCACAAAACACCAAGCCATAGGGTATATGCAGAGGCCATAGCTCAGAGACATACAGGTCCATGTTTGCCACTTCAGTCTCGTAAGCAGGATTTAAAGCCTTGAGATACAGAAGTCAGAGGCAATACATGCAAAAGTCACTGTGGATCATTGTTTGGTCTTGTGTATTTCACAAAGGGCACAGTCCTATAAAGGACACAGGACACCTGCGTTCCCATTTTGAAGGTGACATGACTGAGGATCAAAGAGAAGTAGGTTGTTTTATGGGAATGTCATTGTTATAAGAGCTGAGAAGAGTGTCCAAGATTTTGTTTTTCATTTTCTTTTCTTCATTAGGTTGGTTTGGTTCCATTGTGTTCCATAATATGATAATTAAATAGATGGCTCTATAGTTAATACCTTCCCAGATGTAGCATCACATTATAATATCACACACACACACACACACACACACACATACACACACCATGATGTTTTCTACCTATTTAAAACACCTATTAGTTGATAATCAGTTAGGAAGCCCTGTAAATGTCATGGCCCTTAGCACCCTTCTAATTTTGTATGAACCCCAAACTTTACTTGCTCACGGTTTTAGCTCACTCAGTACCTAAAGACCACATTCACCTGTCTCCTTTGCATGGTGTCCACCCCTTGAATCATCTTCTACAAGATTTAATATGGCTTTCTTTTTGCAATTATTCAAAACTTTAGCTTTTATTTTATCCCATTCTGTGTATACCAATACAGCATCCCAGTCATAAAATTCATAGCATGTCTCAGAGTTTTGTTCTTACACATTTAATTAGATGCCCACATATTTTTACATGTCATTCCTCCAATAGACTATTATGAGTTTTATTAGAACAGGGATATGTGTGTCCCCCTGTGTCCTTTCCTCTCTCCCTTACATAGCACTTGAAACACGTACTGGCTGTGCAATAACTTTTAAGTGAATTAACACGGGCACATGAGTCTTAGTGCTTTTAGATCAAGCTGACTTCTGACTCACAGAGATCCAACAGCCTCCGCCACCACCACCACAGCTGTCCTAGTGTTCTTTTTATTTGTTTGTTTTGTTGTTGTTGCTCTACACAGAAAGCTAACACACCTCAGAGAAAGGTAAAAATGAAAATCTTAATCGGAAAATTCAACCCAGACACAGAGATTTCTATGGCATCAAAACATCCCCAGGCATTTGTTTCATCTCGAGAATCCATTTCATCTTGAGACTCTGAGAAAGTGGAAGACCCCACTCTGATTGACTAATTCTAAATTCACTCAGTCTCTGGAAATTAACCATGGATGCTTCAGACATTATAAACATAATTTTTTCCTGTAAAAGCTTTAAAAATAATACTTTGAAGTTCTTGTTGTTTTCTTTTTATTCAACACTGTTGCATATACAACAGTGGGTATATTAGTGAAGAGGACTGAATGCAAACTCTGAGTGGAAATACCTTAAAGCCAACATCAGCCAGTGTATTGATGTTGGATGATTGCTTTAGTTGGCCTCCTGAGACTAAATTTGTCTGTCAACACTGCCTATCCAACTTTGGGGTCTTTTGAATTTGGACCATGTATTTTTCTGTAACATGGTTGCTTCAACACTGTCACTACCTCCTTACAATTTATGATGTCCATAAACAGCATTTTTAGAAAGGAAACATTATCTTCTTCACTGAACTGCTCCATCTTTCTGGACTAAATGTCCTTCGCATCTTTGTAGCTTCCAAGTTCTTAGAAACATGAGATACTCATTTCACAGATTAGAAGTACATTTTGTTCTGGATATTTTTCTCCTCTCTTTGCCAACAGAACTTTTAACAGGAAACACAGCAGCTTTTAGAATTGTGGTAAACTAACTTAAAACTCAAATTTTTAATACTGCAA